AATTGATCCAGAAACTTTTGAGGAAATGGTCACAGACATGAGTGCAAGGCCACATGAGGTGGATGGAAGACTTGTGGAACCAAAAGTTCCATAACTTTTGGTTTCATAACTTCAGTTGTAGAATCAAAGAAGTCAAGAGAAGATTCTCAAAGACCTGGTGCCCTCTTAACTGTGAAAATGACTTTTGTTGGTGCCATTAAAGAAAACACTGAAGAACAACATTGCATAACATTATTTTGAACAGAATGGGAAAACTGAAGTAATTGAAATCATGATTGATTGAGGCAGTGTCAAGAAGACAAGCTTTGTTTTTGTAACCTTTGATGAACATGATTCTATAGTCAAGATTGTCATTCATAAATACCATACTGTGAATGTCCACAACTATGAAGTATGGAAAGCTATACCTAAGCAGGAGATGGCCAGTGCTTCATCTAGGAAAAGAGGTCAAAGTGGTTCTGGAAACTTTGGTGGAAAGCATGGAGATGGTTTTTGTGGGAATGCCAACTTTGATCATGGAGGAACCTTCAACTGTGAAGGTAGTTTTGGTGGCAACCATGGTGGTGGTGGATGTGGTGACAATGAGGGTGGCTATAGTGAATTTGGTAGTAATGGAAGCAATTTTGGAGGTGGTGGGAAGCTACGAAGATTATGGCAATTAAAATAATCAATATTCAAATTTTGGACCCATGAAAGGAGGAAACTTTGGAGGCAGATTCTGGCCCCTATGGTGGTGGAGGTTAATATCTTGCCAAACCAGGGAGGCTATATTAGTTCCAGAAGTAACAATAGCTATGGCAGTGTCATAAAGTTTTATTTAACTGTCAGGAAACAAAGCACAGCAGGAGAGAAGAGCCAGAGAAGTGACAGGGAAGTACATGTTACAACAAATTTGTGAACTCAGCCAAACGCAGTGGTGGCAGGGCCTAGCTGCTATGAACAAGAAATGTTTAGACAATATTCATGTGTATGGGCAAAAAACGTGAAGATTGCATTTATGAGTAGTTTTATAATAGGTTATTTTAGTTTCTGTGCTATGGAAAGTGTAAAGCATTCTAATAAAGGGTTTTAATGCAGAATTTATTCTTTCACACCAATGATCTTGATTGTTAAACATAAAAGGCTGATCGTGACATTGAATAATGTGTCCTCCCTGGTGTCCTCCCTGGTGGCCTAGGGGTTAAATCTCAGTACTATCACCCCTATGGCCAGAGTTTGATCACTGGCCAGGAGCTAACCCACATATGGTACAGCAGAACTCTCCTGTCTTGCCTGATGTTGCCCTTAACAGTGTATTTCAGTAAATCTACTTGTTCTTCTCCCCACTCTGTCTCTGGCCTGCAACAAAGTTCTTCTACTCAAAAAAATAAATAAAATAAAATGTGTTGTATAAAGTTAGTCTAATCTGAAGCCATCATGGTAAATTATCCCAACAGTGTTATGTTAGAATTCCTTCAGGGTGACATAATGTTCATTTTGAAATTTATTTATAAACTGCTTGGGCAGAGAAGTCATTGTTTTCAGAAATCTTGGTGTAGTTAAATTGACAGTTACTGTGTTGTGACTTGGAGTTCACTATCAAAAGGATCACCCAAGCAAAGCCATGGTTATTAATGATCATGATTGTTGGCACATCTTATGCAATATATCTAAATTGAATTATGGTACCACATAAAATTACATATGGGAATGAAGCTGGTGTATCATTTATTATTATATATCATCAATAAATTAATATCATCTTAAAATTTATGCTAACTATGGAAGCAGAGAGTAATTGTACCCTTATCAATCCTTGCTCAGAACTTTCTTTTTGTTTCCCACTCTTTGTTATCATAAAAACAAAACAAAAACAAAAACAAAACATACAATTCCTTCTGAGATTTGATTCTTTAAATCACAGTGAAGTGCTTCTGAGTTTGGTGTTAATGAACATTCTTGAACAGACTAAATCATTTCAAGCTGTTCCTGGTTCCCAGCAACCCCAGTTGCAGGGACTACATTTAATATTCAGGGACTGGAAAGGGGAAAGATATTCTAAGACATAGGAAAAGAACTGCTGCTCTTACAGAGAAGCCTACCAGGGTTAAAGAAAAAAAAAAAAAGACACCTGCTAAACAGTCAATTTCAGAGTACTTTAGATTTGATGAGTCTGCTAGAAGTCATTTGGTCTAGTCCCCTGCCTCTGATCGGGCAACTACCTAAAGAAAACCAGAGACAAGAAAATGAGGATCCATGATTTCCTAATAAGTCTGGACCAGTGCTGGCTTTTTTTTTTAAGATTTATTTATTTATACAAGTACTGGGGTACAGGCCAGAGGCGTGGGAGGGTGAGAGAATTCATCAGAGACAGAGCAAGGAGCAGAACAGGCTGAAGGACCTAAGTACACTGCTGAGGGGAGCAGCGGGCAAGACAGGAGAGATCTGCCTTGCCACGTGGGAATCTCCCTGCCCAGCCGGGAATCGAACCGGCCCTGCAGAGGCTGCGGATAGCTTCACAGCGCTGCGCTCAACCCGCTGTGCCACCAGGGAGGCCCAGTGATGGCTTTATCTTATGAGCAACAGGGTTTCTGTGTGTAATTTGCTTTTGTGCAACTCAAAGAATCATTGCTGTTTTCTATTGTGTATAGACACATCATTCTATAAGACTGGAAAACATGCCAACTGATCGGAATTGTGTATTGTAGTCTTTTCTTTTGGGAAAGGTCATCTACTTTAGGGAAGAACAGTGGTAGCAGAATAAAAGAAAGATTTTTTTCCTGGGCCTTCTAAGTCGCTCTCTGAAAGGTTGATGTTTACTTCCTTAAAGGAGTGCTAAAATTGCTTGAAATGTTACGGAAAATGATAACCGAGTTGAGCCCAGTGAGGTTGGGAGCTGTCTCTATTATTACACTGTGAAAATGAGGCTTCAGATTGCTAACTTCTCTGAAGCAGAACTCCTGAAATTTATGTAGTATTGCAAACTAATGATAAATGAATAAAATCTTTGTTTTTTTTTTTTAAAAAGATTCCTTTCTCTTCCCTGGTAGCATGTTCAGCCTCCCTCAACTCAGTTATGTTAGACTAGTATGAAATGTCATATTTCACAGCTGGGGTCTGAAAGATATATGTGAAATATCATTATTCCTGGTTCTTTGGTGAGCAAAAGAGACAAATACAAACTAGTGTACTCAAGACACAGGTTCCTGCAATGTGTTATAATACACAGTTGTTTCTATTGAGCAGAAATCTCAGGATCTTCAACAAAGTAATGGCATTAAAGAGGCAGAATCTCTCTTTTTTTTTAAAGCTGTGTATATCTCCTAAAAGTGAGCATCAAGAAGAGAAGGCTGTAGTGGGCTTGGTCACTGAAGGCTTTTTGAGTCAATGTTGTTTCCAATTGAATGGAAGGCCATTAGTAATGACTTTTAAAAGTAAATGATAAAAAAATTGGTCTATAGATTAAGCAAGGATGATGGCCATGATCTCAAATGTGAGGTGATGTCACCAACAAGAAAAGAAGTATGTTGGCTGACCTGTACCAGGGAACCAACCTTTTATTACTGGAATAATTAATACATGCCACTCCTAATTTAAGTATTAAATTGGTGGTGATAAACTCCAGGTTATGAAAGATCTTTGAAAGTCTACTGAGTTAATTATTTCCTAGCAATACAACTTTCCTTTCTTATGTGTTTTGTAGAAAATATCCTTATTCAATTTTTTTTTACATTTGTTTACCTAACATAATTTTAGGAGTACAACTTCACACCTCAACATGTGCACATGCTTCACTCACTGTCTGTCAAAGCTCCAGTGCCAATATTCCCTAACACATTACCTCTCCTAATCTCTTTTCCTCACTCCACCCCCTTTAGTAATCAGTATATCATTTCAGAGTCTAAGAGTTATTTTTGTTTTATTAACTTTTTTCCCCTGTGATTGTTTATTTTCCATAAATAGGTGAAACTATCTGGTAATTGTCTTTCAATTTCCAACTTACCTTACTTTGCATAATCACTTTAAGATCTATCCATTTTGTCCCAAAAGGCACTATGCCATCTTTTTTTAGCAGCTCAGTGTATTCCATTGAGCATAGATTAAATACTATAATTTCTTTATCCACTTCTCTTTCAAATGGCCTTTTAGGTTGTTTTAAAAACTATGGAAATATGGGCCTCTCTGGTGGTGCAAGGGGTTAAATCTCAGCACTATAAAGCTATTGGCAGCCACTGCAGCAAGAGTTCCATCCCCAGCCAGGGAGCTGGCCCGGGTGGCACAGCAGACCTCTCCTGTTTCGCCCACTGCTCCCCTTAGCAGTTTACTTCAGTAGATCTGCCTGTTCTGCTCCCTACTCTGTCTCTGGTGAATCTTCTCACACACCACCTCCGCTCTCCCCACCCCCGTACCTCTGGCCCACACACAAGCTCTTGCATAAATAAATCTTTAAAAAACAACGATGGCAATACCATATGATCCAGCAATATCACTTTTAGGTATTTACCCAAAGAATCTGAACACTAACACTTAAATGCTGACTATAGAACTGAAGCATCCAGAGGGGGTAGGGGATGGGAAAAGAGTAAGAACAAAGAGGAAATGAAGCCCAGTGGACTGTGCTGTTGGACTATGATTGTTTTGTGGTGGATGCATTATGGCAGTGATACCTGATGGGATCCTATTGTTAATAATAAACGAATAAATAAATGAATAAATTCATTTTAAAAAGAAAACACTCATACGAAAGATTTATGTACCCTATGATTATAGCAGCATTATTTTCATGAACCCTCCCTTTCTTAATGAAGTTCTACAAAAAGATTGTAGTAAGATACCTTCTTAGAAAGCTATTCAAGTACCCGAATACTTTCATTAATAGGAAGTTTTGTCTTGGCTGTAATCTAAATCCTTTGTGCTGCTCTTCATATTTAATTCCTCTTCATGTATCCTTGGTTAAACTGGGAAGTTTTGGCTAAGTTATTCAGACTCCCCAATTCCCCTGTGGGTAAGGCTCTTCTTACCTCCCAGTCTAGGACAGAGGCTTGCCACTGGGCAATCTTGTCGATATTCTCCAAACGCCGTTTGCGTTCATTGATCTGCTGAGTCACATTTCTCATAACAGCCAGAGCAGCTGCCACATATCTGTAGTCACTGTGAAAACACAAAAGTACAAGTTGGATGAACCAATGTGCCAGAGAACCACAGTGCTAGGTAACATCCATTTTCCTTTTCCTACTTAGTAATGGAGCCCTGAACTTCAGATGGAACCCATGTCACAGGGAGTAAAAGGCTATTCTCCCTATCCTTTATAGCAAGTGGTGACTCTGCAACTAAGTTCTATCCAATTATATGTAAATAAATGTTTTGGGTAGAACTTTTGAGCAACTTTCTTTAAGGAAGAGAGCATGTCCTTACTTTAGCCCTTACTCAATCTTGATGCTTGGAATGTGGATATGATAGCTGATGTTCTAGCAGTTATCTTGCATCAAAAGGGCAAGGTCCATGTTCCTAAGAATAGGATAACAGAAAGCTGGAAGAAGCCCAAGTGTCTAATGACCATGGAGCCACCACAGCAGCCACAGACTGCCTACCTGCAGACTTCTCTTACATGAAATAGAAATAGACCCTTATTGTCTTTATGATATTATTATTTTGTGGGTGTCTTAGCTGATACAACCAGTCAAGGACCAAGAATGGAGCCACACACATGACATGGTTCAAACAACTTTACCATCTTTTATCATCTATTTCTAGGGAAGTTACTATGAATTAAGATCATACCATTCCTCTTGTACAATATAAAGGATGTAGCATGCGGTAAAAAACAGAGTCTGGAGCCAGGCTCCTTGGATTCAAAACTTAGTTTGTCATTGATGAGTGATAGGGATTAGGGATTTTGGCAAGTCTCATTCACCTTTGTGACTCAGTTTCCTCATCTGTAAAGCAGGGTGTATTACAGTAGGATTTATGGAGGATTTATTCACCCATCTAAGCTGTTTACTTTTGGCTTATGGTAAACATTAGCAATGTTACTAAAATAAATAAAACATTTCTGTAGTATCAACATCACATAGGTTACCTCTCAAAACCTCTAGTTCCAGAAGTGCAACCCTATAGGCCCAGCTTCCTGGGACTTTAGATGGCTTATTTGTTGAAGATTACACAACCCTTCCCATTTTCCTTTGTTTGTCTGATATGATTTCCATTTGAGTGATTCCTGTGAAACACAGATTGAAAGTAAAATCCCAGCCATTTGGTACAAGTACAATAAACTATAGGAGGCAGGAAAATAAATTTCAGTTCAGTCTTCACACCTCTCATTAGAGAATCTAAACACGCTTTGTGATCACTAACCTATCCCTGCTCTTTGTCCCAGTACCAATTAGAAAGAAGAGAAGATAAAAAGAATATGCTCAGCCACTGCAATTTTCCCACCTAATATGTGAAGTGTGGGGTGCCAGAATAAACATTGGTACAGAAAAGGCAGTTTTGTCAGGGCAAATGCCATGCTGCACCTCCTTTTAGCTGGCCTTTGTGTCTTCAAATCTGTTCTCTGTACACTTGCCAGACCATCATCTTAAAATGCTACTAAATTCTATCACCTTCAGGGCCTCCCTCGTGGTGCAAGGGGTTAAGCACTGCACTATGAAGCAGTCCGCAGCCTCTGCAGCACGAGTTCAATCCCCAGCCGACCAGAGAGAAACCCACATGGCGAAGCAGAACTCCTGTCTCGCCTGCTGCTCCCCTCAGCAGTGCATTTCAGTCAGTCTGCCTGTTCTGTTCCCCACTCTGTCTCTGGTGAATCCTCTCACCCCCCCTCCCCCGCATCCCTGGCCTGTACCCCAGCTCTTGTACGCATAAATAAATAAATCTTTTTTAAAAAAATTCAATCAACACCAATGACAGGATGCTCACTATTCCTCCTAATTAGTCTTTCCTGCTATTCTCTCTCAAGATAGTTCTATTTTAAAAAGAAAACAAAGCAAAATAAAAAAAAAAACTTTTCTTCATTCTGAGCCTCAATGAATGATAGTTATTATCAGTTTTTCTTCTGGATACCACTGCTGATTCATATTGAATTTATGATTGACTAACACATCTTAAGTCTCTTTAAAATATTCAAGAGTTGCAGCTTTCATATGCCCTTGATCTGTTAATTTCTAGACCCAATTGCAAAACATTATATTTGCTCCTGGTGCATTTCATAATTTTACAGTTACTTTTTTAGTCCTCTAGGAATCCACTGGTCTTCAAAGCTTCTCACTGACAATATTATCTAAGTCAGCCACATAGAAGTAGGGCCATGTGAAGACAGAAGAAGTAGTTGAAGTGGGGGCCTCCTTGGTGCAAGGGGTTAAAGTTTCATCACTATGAAGCTATTGCTGGCCACTGCAGCTGGAGTTCAATCCCTGGCCAGGGAGAGCCCACATGGTACAGCACTCACCCACTGCTCCTGTCTCACCCACTGCTCCCCTTAGTCAATCTGCCTGTTTTCCTCCCCACTCTGTCTCTGGTGAATCTTTTCACCCTCCACCCTCTCACTCCTCTGCCTACACCCCAGTTCTTGTATGTATGAATGAATAAAATAAATCTTTTTTTTTTTTTAAAGTAGTTGAAGTGTACAAATAACTAACAAGTAATTACCCTATTCTTTGGGTCCATTTTCTGTCTTACATGTTTTTCCTCTCTCTATTTTGAGGACATAAGGAAAATGCTTTTTAAGTCACTCTCTGGGAAGAAAAGCATAGAGGTACAAATTTTCATATGGTAGCCACATAGCCACATTTAATTAAACTTAAATAATTTTAAAAAATTTAATTCCTTATTTGCACCAGTTACATTTGCCAGTACTCAATAGCCACACATGCCCAGTGACTACTATACTGGACAGAACACATAAAGCACACTTACATCATTGCAGAAAATTCTAAGTGACAGTACTGGCATGGAAAGGCTTATTACCTCTGCTTAGCTACTATTCAGCCATAGATTCATCACTGTTGTTGTACCAATCTGTCAACCTTTGGTCAACCTTTGCCATTTTTAGCTGGCTGCCTTACTCACAATGGTTAAAAAGGGAATGACAACATCTTTAACCTGCCCCACTAGCTTAGAAGTAGGTCAGTGAATAAGAGCATGGTTATTATTTTGTCAGGACTCTGGTCAGAGCCCCCAGGCCTCAACATGAGGCCCAGGCCCCTATGAGGAGACTGGGTTAATCATGACAACCTTGTGCCAGACATGTCAGCTAACCCCACTCTTGTACAGAACCTTCCTTCTTGTCAGCTTACAGAAGGTTGGGTGGAGAGGGGCATGTCACCCATGTATAAGCAAAGGCAATATTCTTCATTTATCACTTTCTATCTATCTAATCTTTTCTGGAGATCACTATGACAAGTTGCATTTAAGATATATCTTTGTGAACAACTATCTAAGCCTTTATGCTGGCAGCAGTCTCTAATTGCCATCAAATCCAAACTACTTTGGCATGCAAATTAGTAGCTATTGTCTTAACAGCTTCCTGAGGCCTGCCAAAAGGGGTGGGCTAGGACTTGGAGGGTAGTGGCCCAATGGGTCATCCAGAAGGAAGACATTGATTGATATAGCCTGTGACTGAATCACTCTCTCATATGCTAGATTCTAGGAGTAAGAGATGGGACCAGAGACTCAGGACAAGAAGGCCTTGAATCAGGCCTTCTAACCACACAGTGAAGAATCAAGGAATGGGAAATTCCAAGCAGATGTCTTATCTAATGGCTCTCACTAAACCCAAAAAGGCCCTGAGGTTGTAAAACCTGACAAAACTTTTGTCTGTGTCTCGAAAATGATTTTTCTAGGGCTCTTAAAAGCAATTATATCATTATATAATTTACATAGTGAGTATCATAAGTCCATAAGTATGATTTTTAGATCCTCCTGTTAAGTTCCATGGAATAGATACTTAGGGAAACACAAGAGATAAGACATTACATAAAAACATCTGAAATTGCCATGTATATTCCAGTTATTTATTTATTTATATATTATTGTTATTACTTATTTTATTATATATATATATTTTACATCATTTTTCATTTTTATACAATGTATGAATGTTCATATTGGTTATAGTCCACATACAATTCCCACCCCCCTTGTTTTGATCCTATTCCATCCTCCCCACCCCCACCATACTGTGTCTCTGGTTTATAGTTGCTTGTTGATTTTGAATTTTACATAATTAGTCGCTTTACATCTGGTATTTTTCTTTTTCTTTCTGGCTTATTTCATTGAGCATGATCCCTTCCAGTTCCATCCATGTTGCTGCAAATTGCATGAGTTTATATTTTTGATTGCTCAGTAATATTCCACTGTGTGTATATATAACACATCTTCTGATCCAGTCATCTATTTTTGGGCATTTGAGAGTTTCCATAGCTTAGCTATTGTAAATAGTCCTGCTATAAACATAGTGGTGCAGGTGCCCTTTTGTTCTTTTTTTTAAAGATTTATTTATTCATTTACACAAGAACCAGAGTACAGGCCAGATGTGCGGTAGTGTGAGAGGACTCACCAGAGACAGAGCAGGGAAGAGAACAGGCAGACTGATGGAATGCACTGCTGAGGAGAGCAGCAGGAGCAACAGGAGAGGTCTGCAGTGCCATGGGGGACCCTCGCCAGGCAGCTGGTATTGAACCAGCGATGCAGAAGCTGCAGACAGCTTCACAGAACGGTGTTCAACTGCCTGCACCACCAGAGGGGGCCCGCAGGTGCCCTTCTGAATTAATGTTTCTGAGTCCTTTAGGTAAATACCTAGGAGTGGAATTGCTGGATCATATGGAAACTCCATCTTTAGCAGACTGAGGAATCTCCACACAGCTCTCCATAGGGTTGGACCAGTTTGCACTCCCACCAGCAGTGCAGGAGAGTTCTTCTTCCTCCACATCCTTGCCAACATTTATTGTGACTAGCATTCTCAGTGTGACTACCATTCTCACTGGCATAAGATGATATCTCACTGTAGTTTTGATTTGCAGTTCCATGATTACAAGTGATGTTGAACATTTTTTCATATGCCTGTTGGCCATTTGCATTTCCTCTTTGAAGAAGTTTCTTTATAGCTCTTCTGCTCATTTTTTAACTGAATTATTTACTTTGTTTTAGTTGAGTCT